GTCATTATTTCCTATCATACTGTCTCTAATATACACCATAGTAACAGTTGGATAATGTCATTATTTCCTATCACACTGTCTCTAATATACACCATAGTAACAGTTGGATAATGTCATTATTTCTTATCATACTGTCTCTAATATACACCATAGTAACAGTTGGATATTGTCATTATTTCTTATCATACTGTCTGTAACATACACCATAGTAACAGTTGGATAATGTCATTATTTCTTATCATACGGTCTCTAAGATACACTATAGTAACAGTTAGATAATGTCATTATTTCTTATCATACTGTCTGTAATATATACCATAGTAACAGTTGGATAATGCCATTATTTCTTATCATACTGTTTGTAATATACACCATAGTAACAGTTGGATAATGTCATTATTTCTTATCATACTGTCTGTAATATATACCATAGTAACAGTTGGATAATGCCATTATTTCTTATCATACTGTCTCTAAGATACACCATAGTAACAGCTGGTAATTTCACTATTTCTTATCACACGGTCTCTAATATACACCATAGTAACAGTTGGATAATGTCATTATTTCTTATCACACGGTCTCTAATATACACCATGGTAACAACTGGGCCCGTTGGGTCACCCACTGTTCAGAGATTATGAATAATTCAAGCTAATTTCAATATTTAACGAAACTTGTTTTATTCTGTTTATATTCTCATTTCATTACAAATATTGCGCAACTGTACGTCGTTTCTGCTGTATTTAATTACAGACAAACAATCTCAGTTTTAGTAATATATAGAGAGATAGATAAACCAATATGTGACGCCATCTAGTTTACCTAAATTCATCTAGAAATTTTCATAAAAGTGACCCGAAAAACGGCGCTAACTCGGTAACCCGTGGCCCGATTTTAACGAAACTTATTTTATTCTGTTTCTATTCTCATTTCATTACAAATATGGCGCTATTGTGTACCGTTTTTGCTGTATTTAATTACAGAAAAAACAATCTCAGAGTTTTAGTAGTAGATAGATAGATTAGCATACTTGGGAACTCTCCGGATTTGTCCAGAACTCTGTTTTACGACTCTGAAACAGTTTGTTTATTTATTGTTGTGAATTGAACCACATCCACTCGCTTTAGGATACAAATCAATAACATTTGCAATATACAATCAGGTTTTGAGTTGCTTACAGATCAGTAGCTAATGGATCAACAGGCGTCAGAAATGGAGTGTAAAATATTCGAACTGTAACATCTATTGTGTGTTGTTTTTTTTACATTGTTTCGCGGTTAAGGTAGACAAGTTTCTTTGACAAAAAACAAACGAAACGAAATTGGTGGGGTCATTTTTCTGATGTATCAAGGACAGCTAAATCCCAAACTCCCAAATATGTACATTAGTATCAAGAAAGGTGTTAATCGCAAGTAGTTAGTGTTAGGTTTGGTAAAGTTCTCGAAACCGCCTATTTCAATTTCATTGTGATCTTGCATAAATAACTGTTGGAAAACCTTATTTGTTTAGAGAAAATAAATTACTTTCGATGATAACGATACAATCGAAAGGAAATTCTTTGATGTCACTTCCGCATGACTATTCTAATTTCTTGGAAACATTTCCATACGCAGACTTCAGGTTTCTCCACAGTACTTACATACACAAAGGATGTTACGTCATGCGTTACCTTCGCACGGGCCTTGTGAAATAAAACGTGCTGCGTTTGAAAAGATTATTTATTTCACTGTAACTTCTGTAGGATAAACAAGTTCTGGATTCATTGGTCTTTTTTCTTTGGTTAACAAAACCTGTTTTTGCGCAACATTTTGAAACAGCAAATCAACCTGGGATAAATTTTATTGGATTTGACCATGCCACCAGCTACTGAGAAGGTGATTATTAATATTTTAGTAGAGTTTATTTCTATTATTAATTTACTTCCCTTTAATTCCTAATAAACATCAATTATAGAAAGAGAGAGAAAGCCCTAGTCTTCATAAGGCGCCTAAAGGCGAAATTATTGGGTAAAAATCTTCATTTAAGACAATAGGTGGCGTAAAACCACGTCATTCGTAATATACTGTTGTTAGGCTTGCCTTGCATCGAATTAATGCTAAAATTAATATTTTATATTTGTTATATACTTTTATAATATTAAACATGAAGTAAATGTCTGTAATATAAAATGTTAAAATATTCTAGGAAATATATCATTATATTAGTTTAAATAAACAGAGCTACACAATGGACCACTTGTGGTCTGTTCACGTCGGAGAATTGAACTGATTTTAGCGGTATAAGTCCATAAACTTACCGCTGGCCCACTTCTGTGTTTTTATTAGGGTTAACACAATCTATTATTTATTTACTTAATAAATAATATCATTTCATAAATAAATTGCAGAAAAAAGCGCAAAATAATTTATAGTTTAACTTTTTTGTTCATTATTCAACAGTAATTCAAAATATAAATTGGCAAACACTGTATAGGGACCGAAATGTTTTATGTATCTCTGTAATTAAGTTAAAGAATGATAATAACAAACATAGACGTAACACTATTAAGTTTTTTGTATATCTAAAACTATTAGTTTTTCTTCTGCTTAAAATTTGTAAGTGGTAAAAAAGGTGATATGTTAACAGAATTTTATAAAATAATTAATGATATAGGAAGTCGTGTAGTGGAGAAGTCTTAATATTTCAAATTAAAGATATAATATTACAGCCCTTAATAACCATTTATTACTATCACACTCTTTCTAGAGCCAATATATTGTAAACACACAAACTGACCATATTGTATAATGGACCAACTATTTAATTATTATATATAAAAATGTGACTGATTTCTTTTCTTTTTCACCAAAAGTAAAATTGAAAATAAAATATGTGATGTAGAGGACTAATGCTTTCTTTGATTGGCTGTATTCCCTTCTGTGGACTACAGTTTCGCCTATCAATAATATTTTACTCTAAAAATTATGACAGATATTCTAACAGTAGAAAAAGAAAAAAAAAGCAAACAGGTGCCATTCACGCTTAGCCAAAAGTATAATTAATAAAGTCTCCTTTATCGGCAACGTTGTTTCGTTTTCTGTTGAGCAGAGAATGCAAGTGGAGATAACACCTGGTTCCTTGATTCGAATACATATATTTTAATCTTTGCATCCATAAGTTTTGCTGAAAATCATCCTTAAATCTCAGTTACTCATTAAAGGTTTTTTTTTTTCAAGGCGATAGATTTGAATTCAACATTTTACTAACAAATTTACGTGTACCTGTAGTAAACAGGTTTATATTGGTTCAACGATACGCCACCTAGCGGTTCTAAACAAAGAACATCTAAGACCGAGCAAAGGAAATTATTTCGGTGTCTATCTGCACTTAACAACCTCTGTAACCTTGTGATAAAGGCTTTAGCATTCTCTGGTCAACAGAGGACAAAAGAACTTTGCGAATAAAGAAGACTATTAATTGTAATGTTGCCCTATGGTGGCTAGGTAGGGTAAGAGGACTGACGGCTTGCAAATAAAAGAAAAGTATTTCAACATAGAGGAAAGTTCGTGTATAATTCTACATATTAATCTATCTACGTTACGAGTCTTCAAAACAATTACAATGAGATCTTAATAAATCGTCATTCCAACAATACCATAAGAAAGACTGTAGAGAAAACAGTTGATTCACAAAATAATTATTACACACCTAGCCTAAGCCTAAAGTCTCCACTAAAACGAATCAACTGTTCACACATCAAGTAACCTACTTTTTCACACATAAGGTACTTTCTTGTGCACAGACATAGTTAGTTATTCACAAACAAATAATTAATCTAATATTCAATCACAAAATAATATGAGATATTTCATTTTGTTTTATTCTGGTTTAAAGGACGACTATAAGTATGCATTCTATTTATGGTTTAGTACAACAACTATTACATAAGTATAGGTGACGTTTTTAAACAGTTTTATATATACAAAAGGACGAAGAATTAGACATGACTTCACAGGAGAGCAATTGCAAAGCCCAAATTTAAGTATTTTAATTTAGTAAAGTGATAATTTGAAGGGTAATACTTATAGCATAAGCATATTAGTTTTTTTGTATTGTATTTAAAATATTGTAAAAACTCTGGCTACGTAACGTTAACATTTTAGGTGATTTCAGGAGAACCCACTCAGTAAAAACAACCGAGATTATCCGTGTTTGTTATTTTAGAATAATAATTTATAAATATTTATAATTTTTCAGGAGCCTGTAACTGCTATATCTTACAATGGCGTGTCGCATCCGGTTTTTATTTCTTCAGTCGACGTTATTCGAGAGGTAAGAATTTTAACTCTTAAGTTATTCGCCATATTTAATCTAAAATGTTTCATATGAAGATTGTGAATTGTCCTTTAATAACACTGTCTAGGACAGTTCTTGGACTTTATTCAAATACACGTTTTCCTGTAACCTCCGTGATAAAATTGTACCCATACTTAGAAGTGACTCAAATGTGTTGTTGTAATCACAAAATGACACAATAGGCTATCTGTGTTGTAAGCTCTCAAGCTGAACCATTGGAGGACGACTAAAATATGAAAATCAAACTTGAAAAAAAAGTGAAAAAGATAAACGTAATTTTTAGTTATGTGATAACTGAGTTCAAACAAACATATATATTAACAGTTCAGTCTTTCTGTTATTGGTAAAACCTATGCTTGTATTAGTATAGGTAATTTTACCAATTAAAGGTCCATATATGTAATGGTGTATTGAAATTAAATTAATCATATTTTTTGCAATGATATAAGTGATGTTTTTATTGCTGGCATTTGTATCATAGTGATAAATGTTAATAATTTATTTGCTCAGTTGGGTTTTAAGGTTATACAAAACGGCTCTACCTTTCCTTTTTTTACGTTATGGTCATATTATTTCTTCAGTTGCTCTATACGACTGACATCGGTAAAGGTATTTAATGTGTGTAGTTGGTTCACTTTCCAAAGAGGACGCCCACCTTCCCTTTGTTTATTTCTTCCTCTTTACGGTCGTTTTTGACTTTCTATGTTGATTATTCGATAGAAAGAATGCGTGATGTCAACGGATATATTTAAAAATTGTAGCATAAAACTGTTTTCGTAATCAGAGCATTATACTGGGTGTAATGTAGCATAGAAACATAATTTACTTAAATTATATAATATGTGTTTGTTTTTATTTTAAGTTCATTTAACTTTCGAAGTTTGCCACATGAAGTCCTGATACTCTATGTATAATATTCAAGATTGTCCCGGTGATTTAAAAAAATTAAAATATAAATTTTTGTTTTGTTTTTTAAGCTTATTTTTTCAGTCGCATTGTTGAAATTGTATTTATATATGTTTTTTATAGTTCATAACATTACCTTTATTCTTTAGCCCAAACCTTCAGCTCCAGTCCTATCGGCGAATATATCTGATATACACACGCCGCACGAGGAAAGGGGGCATTGGGGAAACAAAGCCGAGTTTATCCTGTCTTGTATTGGACTTTCAGTTGGCATTGGAAACGTGTGGCGTTTTCCTTACTTAGCCTATCAAAATGGAGGAGGTTAGTAATATTTATGACTTTCCTTAATCAAACAAAGTAGCATATGTTGCTTTCCTTCTTAAAACAAGTAGAATAAAAACTACTCGGTGCCATCCTTGCTAACACGTGAAAAGCTGGTCATAATTTATACTTTCTAAGAGATGTAGTGGGTTACAATAATATATATTTCTAAATTGTAACAAAACCTTATATTTTATCCCGTTTTAGGTGCTTTTCTCCTTCCGTATATTCTTCTTCTGGTGGTGGTTGGTAAGCCTATGTACTACATGGAGGTAGCGCTAGGGCAGTTTTCTAGCCTTGGACCCTTGTCCGTCTGGAGGTGTTTTCCATTGGCAAAAGGTGAGAAATTAAGTCATTTAATCAATATGCATATATGTGTGTGTGTTCATAATAGTATAAAATGTTTGGTAAATTGCATACACAAAGAAAATAGAAAAAACACGATAAAACTCGATCGTTTTCTACAGGTCTTCTTTAGAATAATACTGTTTTTATCCCTCAAGACAAGTCATCCTTTTCAAAACGCTAGGGTTTTATTGGGTATTTTTGAGAGTATGTGTGTATGTCTACATACGTATCCCTGCATATAAATCAGTTATTCAAAATGCCAAATATATTGTATTACAAAGAAAACAGTTTTACATAGTAAGTATTTAGATTTTGTTAGGCTTACAGAAAGTATATTTCATTCTTCATAACTTGTGTTCTAGGTATTGGAGCTGCCATGGTCGTGATATCTATTTTGGTCGCCATCTACTACAATGTTATAATGGGGTATTGTCTTTATTATATGGGGCAGTCCTTTCGTTCTGAAGTCCCGTGGAGCGGCTGCCATGAATGGTGGGGTGCAGATAACACTACCTGCTACGTTAGAGACCGAGTGGTAATTGTTGTCTTTTTCAACATTACACGTTTATAAAACATCGAATTTATGCTTTCAATCAAATTAGTTTGTGTCTTTTCAACCCAAACTTGACTTTTTATCTTTCAAAACTTAGATTTTATATTACAACCCTCAAGCCTATAAGAGCCGACAAAATTTCTAAATTTATTTGTTTGTTGTTATGCGCAAACCTAGAAAATGAGCTATCTGCGCCAAACCCACTGTGGGTATCGAACCTATACATTTAGGGTTATATTTACTTTGTACAGATTTATTAACTCATTGCGCTCCCTCAACGCAGATTTTAGCTCCTGTTTGTTGTTGTTTTTTAACTATGCTGTGCTACGTCTGTATATCAGTAGAGAGATCCAAACGTTGAACACCTCAGTATTTCATATAGTAGTTTAGTGTATGTGATATCACCTATATTTAAATATATGCTACGCATATTTTATCAGTTGTTATTGTAGATTGTGAAGTAATATATAACTTATAATCTGTACGTTCAACTGTAATCATATTTTACAGGACCGTTGCCCAGTTGCCCTAGACAAACTAGCGAGAGAATATTCGGCCATGTACAACACATCTACATTAACAACCATGTTCGACAATCTTGTAAACGTCACATTGTCTGACAAGACGGCTACCACTCTCGTGCCACGAGAACAGTTTGATACCACGTTACAGAATTGTACAAATGCAACTAAGACTGCTTCTGAACAATTCTGGGAGTAAGTCGATTTATATATATATATATATAA